CTGAGATCTGACGAAATCGAACACATTCCATGTGCTTTGGACATAGATAGGTCGAATTAATAAAACAAAAATCTATATATTGACATTTAATCACTATTGAAAGGGTTGAGTGGTGGTGCTGTGGTGGGTGCGCGCACTGTGCTATGGACCTGGCGACTTGAGTTCACTCTGCGTCAGTTGTAGGGATTGTTTGACGATACTTCACGCTGGTCAGTGCAGGTTACTCAAGGTGGGACGGGCCCACGGTTTGATTCAGATAAACTTGCCACTGATGTTAGCTGTGCCCTGGAATCAAACTCCGGTGTCGTCGCTTGCAGCGCTGTAGTTGCTGCGCCGCCGCTCGCCACCGCTCTTCCGTCGTCAGTTGATAAATAATTGACAATGAAAGTGGATAATAATGTGTACTTGATCATTTTTCGATTTAAAGCTTTCGTGACTGCAAGGATTCATCTTCTTTGGTTCTTTCGGTAAAGTCACGTAGAATGAGAATAAAATAATAAGTTGATCAAATAAAATAACACAATAAAATTCTCACGACGTTTCGGCCACAACACAAGCGGCCTTCATCAGGTGAAGGGACGAGACTTTACTTGATCATTCTTGGGCCTTACCTGGTACATTAAAAACAGTACAAGGCAACAAAATAGTAATAGCTTCTTGGAATGGATACATAAGATGACACCACTGCTACACCATTTCTCCTAGGCACGTAACAAACGCCGACAGGATGGCGAACGTAAGCTGTGCACCTCGGTTTGTAAGCCGTAACCTAAATATTACCGCGCTGGACACGAGGATGGAAAACTGCGTTCACGTCCGTCGGTGCTGTAGCACCACACATCGCAGCCGGGAACACTGCAGCCGAGGAGCATGAAAATTGAGTGTGTTGACACAAACTCCACGTGACCGTTTTAAATCAGCGTGTACAGCGAGGTTCACGCGAGTGTAAATATAGCAATGCCTATGTACTGTATCGCAGCACAACCCTGTGCCATGCGTGAGGGCCATTGCCCAAAACGTCACCTGGTATGTGTGTGTGTTTATTTCAGTTGTTGTTAGAGCAGTGTTTTTGACGAATGCGTTGAGTGTTTTGTTATTTGTGCAAACCGAGTATCTCCTAAACGAATTTGTTCAGTGTCAAAAGTGATGCTTCGGGTTATTTTTAAATGCCAGTTGATTTAAACCAATGCATTTTACTTCATCTTACACCACTTAAATTTTTCTTGTCACAGCAATTCTCGTAAGTTGCTGAAATGCGTTAAGATAATCATCTTACAATTTATGAGTAAAACCCTATATACATAGACGTAAAATGTAAGAAACTGAAATATCTTGGGAACAGTAGTCAATGAGTTTTTTTTTTATTATCATATTGAATTCAGCACATCAAAATCCATAATAAACAGCACATTTAATCTCTGAAGCAGACGTCTAAAAATCGTAGACCGGTATAATAGGCTATTTGAATGGAAGGCATTTAATTGTACTGGCGCATTACACAGTACTTTGAACACTCATAAGGCAGGATTTGTCAGCACTACATCCGATGATGATTTATCAATGATCACGTGTGGAGCGGCTGTTTTATTACTTACGGAAGTCAGTCCAATAAATATCAGAGCCGCTCTGTACATTATAACAATCGCTCCTTTTTATCCGTGAGCTTATCTTCAATTAATTTGTATCTGTCGATGGGCTTCTTTTCGTTTGAATATTTCGATAAGATGTAGAATGTGTTACTTTACTTACTCCTTCTTTCGCGTACAGAGGAGCCGCATGACAAATTCCACATGTTACTGAAGTGAGGGTTATTATATCATTATTACTACCACACTTGTTTATCCAGGAGAGCCTCATTGAGGCTCAAGCCTCTCTTTTAGGAGGGTCCTGCCAAGTTTTCACAGGGATGGGGGTGATGTTCGTCACGTGTTTCCCAAGTGAGATAATTTTTGGAGTGATATTACAACGTGTGTTTGGCCGCTATACATTCCCACGTGATAAACCACTTGGTTGAGCTATAATGTGTGGCCAGGTCGCGTCTGAAAAATAACATAGCTCAGTGGGCTTTACGTGGTAAAATAGAAAATAGTTTAACATAGTATTAACCAGGGCGGCGGGCTCCCAGATACGAACCATGAACCTGCTCATGAAGCGGTGAACACAACACCTGAACCGTGTCGATGTCACAAGAGCAGCAACGCAGTCATCGATCGTGGAAGCGCCCACTCTGTGTACACCTTCGGCACGCTGTGCACGGCGCACAACATCGTGACTGCCGTCTAGAACGCGTTCTACGCCGCCTGCTGCTGCTGCTGGGCTCGTCGCGTTCAATGGCGTTCGCGGGCATCCGCGATCACTCCCCCACGCAATGGGTGTAGACTAGGTCCATAATAGTACATAACAGGGGGGGGGGGGAGGGGGTGCAAAAGCTGCAGTTCAACTGTCGACAAGTAAAACTAAACTTTTTGTATTTTACCAGGCAAGGCCCACTGAGCTATGTAGCTCTTTTTTCAGAAGCGACCTGGCTATCACAAATGATAGCCCAAATGAAGTAGCTTATCGCGTGGTAATGCACTGCAGCCAAATACTCTGAACGCGCGGTGTTGAGTCTCTTAATGTGGAGGGAAAAACCGGATGACCCGGAGAAAAATCCACACGACCACGGTGAGAGAGACACGCAAACTTCAAATGCACTAGGCGTCAGGGTCGGGATCGAACCCACGACCTCCTGTACACCGGGCGAGGTAGTTAACAGCGTGCGAGGGTACCAGGCGAGCTGACGTTTCCGTTGGGGGGGGGGGGGGGGGGGGTCCAGCGGTCTTCTCCGCTTGGCAACGCCCGTGGGGCGATGCCACGGCGTTAAGCAGCACTGAGAATGGGCTGATGTCCCCCTTTGTTCACTTTTTGTATGAACAAAATAAAATTCTTCCACGCAGGGTTCACCGTTCAGGTAAAGTGAAGCTGTATTGCCGCATACCTCTGGGCTGTGTGCACACGGCAATTTTCAGAATAGTTTGTTATTCTAGGTTGGCTTTGGAGCTTAATAGTGAAAGGGTCTCTTCCTGTTAGTCATTTTCACAAAAATGAATGAGGGGTTGTACTCTTAAGTTCATCTAATTATCTGCAATAATGGAGATAAGCGTTTGCAGATAAGGTCACTATTTTGGTTGACAGATAACGCGAGGAGTATTTATGTGCGTGCGTGATACTGGGATCCTAGCACAGTGCTTCGCGCTGTGAAGCATGCGACCAGAGTTCGATTCCCAGTGGCGGCACACGTCCATGTGAGCGATCTATAATCCCGTCCTGTGCCCATCCACAACAACTACAACCGCCCTTCTCCACTGAGCGGCGGAGACGTCACCACGGCGCTTGTGCCCAGGCTATGTGCGCTTTAAGGACACGTGGAGCGTTCAACGCCTTCTGGCAGAGGGTAACGGGACAAACCCATCCACGAGCCAGCACTGACCCGCGTGGTTTGTAATGAACCCACACAGCCTGGGGAAGGCCTTCCTTCATCTAGCAATGGATCGACTAAGGACTCTGCATGATAATACGTTTCGAAAGGAATTCGGGAAACAATAAGACGAAAATATGTCAAGGGTCAAAAAGGCGTAGTTTGAACATGTGATCTCCCAGACTGTGTAAAAGGTGTGCCACTTTGTATGAATTACATTTGAAGCAATGTTCTAAAGTAAATAATGCGTGAATGTCTCTGTATGCATTGATAGCAACAGTCAGTATACTTTGTTGATAGCTTCAGTTATTATTTTAACTCCAATTGTATAGTTACCTACTTACTCTGTGCTCTGTTGTGCATGGTAACTTAGAATGGGTTTTCTATCTATACAGTATCTGTAAAGTAATGGGATCCAATGTTGTGGCTGCCCACACATTCTCTTTAAAGGCACTTTGTCCTTGCCACTCCGTGTGGAGTGAAATTACATTTTAACATGGAGAGCAATCTATGAAACTTGTTGTGCAGGATGATGTGTTTCTACATTAATATGGATGCCATACGAAACAACAAGTTTTGTATTTATTTAATAGCAGATTATTTAAATCTCGTGACTTAGCTTGTGGACTGAATAACTCTTAATTTGCCCTGTCGTAAAGACTTGTACAAAGATTTGTGCATTTAACTTTTCACTATTTTTTTTTTACCAAAAATTTGAGACATTTCGGAACGGGTTAAAAATGGGAATTGTGAAGTGGATACTTTAGGTCCAGTATGAGGTCCCAAGTTGCTTTGTATTTGCTTGTGCGCACTGATAAATCTTATAAGGTCTTGGGGTAAATATGTGCTCTGTGTCCGTCTCTTTCCCCTCATTTAAGCAGAAGTTGACATTCAATAGGCATGCTTGCAGATGTTGGTGTAAGCCTGATTCACTTTGAAGCTCGCAATGATGGCATGGGTCTTTAACATGCACATTAAGCAGCCGTTTCTGTCTTCCTGCACAAATTACCGTTTGGCAGCAACAATTAAAATTGTGTTTTGTTTTGTTTTTTTAAAGCTAGCCGAACGGACAGGGATAGCGCGAAGCTACGCAGCCACGAAACCAACGATGGATGAACGTGGAGTGTCGTGTTGTGCTGCGTGCAGGAAGCGTGCATTGTAATAATTACATGGGCAGTGGACCTGTTTAAATGGTAACTAATTAAACAAAAAAGTTTTTCACGAAACTATTTTTTTTATTTTACCGGGTAAGGCCCCACTGGGCTATATAGCTCTTTTATTTCAGAAGGGACCTAGCCACAAATGATAGCCCAACGAAGTGAATTACTATAAAACACATGTTGCTTCGAAATGTGGAGTGAAAAACCGGAGAAATTGGACACGACCAAGGGGAGAGAGAGAGAGAGAAACACGCAAACTCCACATATACAGCAGGCACCAGGGTTGGGATGGAACCCACGACCTCCTGCATACCAGGCGAGGCAGTTGACATCTCTGAACCACCATGGCGCCCGTTAAATGTGTTCTCTGTTTTTCCAAACAGAGGAAGAGAGGGCAGGGGCTGTTTTGTGTAAACTGCCTCACAACCACGACGACACTCTGGAGGAAGAACGCCGGCGGTGTCTACGTTTGCAATGCCTGTGGCCTCTACGAAAAACTGCATTCTGTAAGTTTTAAAACTTTCGCACCCACCCTCAGTTTAGCACGTAGCAGTTGTAGGGCTTTGGTGACCAATATAATCCACAGTAGAGGTTTCTTTTTTGGTTCGATCGCGTAAATATAAATGTGTCGTGAAATCCGCCACCACCACCCGACACAGCCAATTAGCAGGGTTTGTCATGTAAACAAAACGTGCCAATTAATTACTGCTCCGGCACACCGGTGTGTTGGAGAGTAAACCCACAACATTTACAATTCGAGTACTGAGACGTTTCGCTGGTGATTAATGACACACCCTGCGATGATACATGTACAATTATTTGAACTTCTAATGTCATTTATTCGCAGTTTGAACTCGTGCAAAATAACGTGCTGTCATTGGGGTTGGTAGTCGTGAATTGGCTGTAATTAGAGGGATGATTATTTAATGTCTTGTATTTTGCTGTTAAGGAATGACAGTAGCCACTGAGTTATCATTGCAGCGCTTCCACATACACGCCTGCCAATCATACGGCTCGCAACACTGCAAGTAGCATGTATACATATTTGTTCACTTGGAGATTTGTTCAAATATTATAAATCTCAAAGAAACCGTTGAGCGTGTGCTTGTGTGTGTGTGTGTGTTCTTGTGTGTGTGTGTACGCGGAGGAATTCTCATGAGTGAATTGAACCTGTAATGTAATGACAGGAACCCCCCTCCACGCCCTTGCCAACCACACCCACTGGCCTTTAACAGACTTGAAAGAAGTGCTTCAATAATGGCACTTAAATGATCAACTGAACAACCAGCTGGAAAAGCTGGTTTCTATCTCAGGCGGACCTTCACACTTACAGTGCATTTGTGTCATTGTGGAACACTCAGAACAGAAGTGCTGCGGTGTTTTAATACAATTATTCGATGGCACGTCGTCGTTACCCCCCCCCGCCCCAGCTCCCCCCTCCGCTCACGTAAATGTCTCTGCGCGCTTTCTCCATTGCAAACCGCGCGGTCCCGCGTGCGGAAGCAGTGGCGCAAATCAGCAACAACAATAAAAAAACAACACTCGCACTGAACGTCTGTTAGTGGTGAGGGCCACGACAGATAGGACGCAGTGACCTTGTTGTTAATGCCGTGGGCAGGAATGTCCAGACAACTCCTTCCCGTTCGAGATCTTAATTGAACGGCATTCCGTTTCCAACGTCAAAGGGCGCGTTCCTTTACGGGACGTCAGGTTGTCATATATATTTTTATTATCATGACATAATTATCGTACAATCATTATCTATCCACTGCTATACGAACGTCTTCCCATACCGTTCCCATCCATCTCACTACTGTACAGTACATCATATAATATGCCAAGTTGTGGTGCCGTGTTTGGTGCTCCATACCTGTCAAGAAACCCTTATCAGTGCCGACCTTATTACAGACCAATTCAGACCTTATTAGCCACCCCGTGCCCTTATAAAAAGCGTTAATTCTACAAAGCCCGTATTGAAACGGCTGTACGCCGAATGGACCTGAAAACTCAATTTGCCTGTACAAGATTACGAGTAAACCATATGGGTTGACCGGCATGGTGCTGTGTATTGTAAACCCAGCAACATGACTTGAATTCTGGGCCACGGCTAGCATCAGTAACAGTTGATATCTAAACCATTCCCCCTTCAATAAGCCCCATATTGACCAGTGTGGTGAAGTATGGTCAAACAGCCCCCATGGCCGATACGACATGGGGCGGCATTCATTCAGTAGTTGATTTACTGAGGGCTGTATATTATAATGAGTATAATGATATAGAAATGTTTATTTTATATTAAAGGTGACCTGGTGTCTCCGAGGGTGTAATAGTTGTGTACGGTAAAGAAAACCACAGGCCCCGCCAGGAAAACCTCATTTTACATTTGATGTTTGTCCTCAGCTCCGTCACTCATGGCTACGCAAACAATAAACAACATCGGAAACGATTGGTTTTGCACTTGCTGTGATTTGGTCAAGCCTAGGCTTGGCATTTTTGGCAGACACGTTCTGCCGACGTCTCAATTGTCAGATGATCAGCGCAGGTAAAGAGCGCAGTCTAGTGGCTATGTCAATTAGAGCGCCTTTCTGGTCCTGACTGATGCGGACGACACAACTGGAATGCGATTGTTATAAATAAGCGAGCATTTTTATAAAATATGCCTGGTGTTAGGGCAGCACTGATTTTTTTCAGTAGTCTAGAAAATTAGTTTCTTATTACATGCAAAAAATAATAATGAGGAAATATATATTATTCACACATCTGTCCCTCCGTAAAAAAGAGATTTTTTTTAATAAGGCCTCCTGGGAGTTCTTCAACAGCATTATTTAAAAAACAAGCAAACTCTGGACCGGTTTCGACAGTGTCTTATCAGCAGTCAGGCTTTGCTTGAACAGATGCTGGTGAATGGCCAGATGTCATAATCAAGGACCCTCTCTATAAGTTATTGGTCTGAGTTAGATACAATAAAAGTATACAATACATATTCTTGGTTCTTTCGGTAAAGTCACGTAGATTAAAACAAATACAAATTCAATTAAAATAACAGGCGCCTGATGAAGGCCACTTGTGTTGCGATCGAAACGTCGTGGGTTTTTTGCATTTAATTTAATTTTATAATTTTTATTTTATTTCCTATCTACGTGACTTTACCGAAAGAACCAAGAATATGAATTCCTGCAGTCACGAAAGTTTAAGGCAACATTTATACAATACATAACACAATCGGTAGCTTTGTTGAACTCGATTTAATTCTGACTTGCTGGATGTTCCTGCAGATGCTTGCTGTGTAGTTTCAATTTAAACTTCGTATCCCATTGCTAAATTTGGTTGTGTGGATTATTTTCTTTGACTTGACCAGTGAGCTGAAACAATCACAGTTGGCGCTTTTAAACGCACATACACCATGTGACAATTTTATTTGCTTGGCTGTGTCAGGCAGTTGATGGTCTCAAGACAGAAACCTGGCCAGACCATTCCGTGGACTAACCCGGAAATCAATCATTTAATCAGAATGTCGACTGCGAAATTCTACACGTTCAGCTACGTTTTACCACCTCCTGTGGTAACAGCTTGCGATATGCTCCAATGACTGCCTTCGGTTATACTCCCATAGCATCTTGCGCCCTGTATTTGCCCAGGTTTTTTTTAAGCACGTGTGCAGTAAGACCATGTGGAAGCCAGACTCATTGGGTGGAGAGCCATTCTTTCTGGAAGAGTGGGCAATGTGAGTAAGTCTTTAGCCGGCGGTGGTGGCTACAGTGAGGGAAAAAGGTATTTGATCCCCTGCTGATTTTGTACGGTTGCCCACTGACAAATAAATGATCAGTCTATAATTTTAATGGTAGGTTTATTTAAACAGTGAGAGACAGAATAACAACGACAAAATCCATCAAAACGCATGTCAAAAATGTTATACATTTATTTGCATTTTAATGAGGGAAATAAGTATTTGACCCCTCTGCAAAACATGACTTAGTACTTGGTGGAAAAACCCTTGTTGGCAATCACAGAGGTCAGACGTTTCTTGTAGTTGGCCACCAGGTTTGCACACATCTCAGGAGGGATTTTGTCCCACTCGTCTTGCAGATCTTCTCCAAGTCATTAAGGTTTCGAGGCTGACGTTTGGCAACTCGAACCTTCAGCTCCCTCCACAGATTTTCTATGGGATTAAGGTCTAGAGACTGGCTAGGCCACTCCAGGACCTTAATGTGCTTCTTCTTGAGCCACTCCTTTGTTGCCTTGGCCGTGTGTTTTGGGTCATTGTCATGCTGGAATACCCATCCACGACCCATTTTCAATGCCCTGGCTGAGGGAAGGAGGTTCTCACCCAAGATTTGACGGTACATGGCCCCGTCCATCGTCCCTTTGATGCGGTGAAGTTGTCCTGTCCCCTTAGCAGAAAAACACCCCCAAAGCATAATGTTTCCACCTCCATGTTTGACGGTGGGGATGGTGTTCTTGGGGTCATAGGCAGCATTCCTCCTCCTCCAAACACGGCAAGTTGAGTTGATGCTAAAGAGCTCCATTTTGGTCTCATCTGACCACAACACTTTTACCCAGTTTTCCTCTGAATCATTCAGATGTTCATTGGCAAACTTCAGACGGGCATGTATATGTGCTTTCTTGAGCAGGGGGACCTTGCGGGCGCTGCAGGATTTCAGTCCTTCACGGCGTAGTGTGTTACCAATTGTTTTCTTGGTGACTATGGTCCCAGCTGCCTTGAGATCATTGACAAGATCCTCCCGTGTAGTTCTGGGCTGATTCCTCACCGTTCTCATGATCATTGCAACTCCACGAGGTGAGATCTTGCATGGAGCCCCAGGCCGAGGGAGATTGACAGTTCTTTTGTGTTTCTTCCATTTGCCAATAATGGCACCATCTGTTGTCACCTTCTCACCAAGCTGCTGGGCAATGGTCTTGTAGCCCATTCCAGCCTTGTGTAGGTCTACAATCTTGTCCCTGACATCCTTGGAGAGCTCTTTGGTCTTGGCCATGGTGGAGAGTTTGGAATCTGATTGATTGATTGATTCTGTGGACAGGTGTCTTTTATACAGGTAACAAGCTGTTACCTGTATAAAAGACACCTGGGAGCCAGAAATCTTTCTGGTTGAGAGGGGGTCAAATACTTATTTCCCTCATTAAAATGCAAATCAATTTATAACATTTTTGACATGCGTTTTTCTGGATTTTTTTTGTTGTTATTCTGTCTCTCACTGTTCAAATAAACCTACCATTAAAATTATAGACTGATAATTTCTTTGTCAGTGGGCAAACGTACAAAATCAGCAGGGGATCAAATACTTTTTTTTCCCTCACTGTATGCACGCCTGTAATGCAGCCATGATTGATGAATCATTCAAACGTTGTGAAACTCCGTACCCCGGCTTGCCCGGGAGAAGGCAGTTCAGCAAAGTGTGGACTAATATGTCTATTCTGTATGGGATTGAGCATCGTCCCTCTCAAGCATGGCGTTTCTCGGTTCCCCGGTTTCACCCCCACATGGAACCACTCATTAATTGGCCAATAACACCTTCATATATAGAGGATCGCAAAGCTTGGGAGGTGGGGAGGGGGGCGCTGGGGAGATTTCCATCAGCTCACCGCCTGGCCACTGCCTTCCCGCTCCTCTGCACTTCCTCGCGAGTTGTTTTCCGTCTGCGAGAGGGAGCGAATAACTGCCGCAGCACGTTAGAAGTTGAAATCTTTATTCGTAGTAACGATTGACGAATGCCTTCAAACTGTAGACTAAAACATTTAATTAATTTAATATCTTTAAATTAGAACTCATCTACAATCATTTATTCGCAAAATAAATGTAAAATACCGAGAGAACACATAGTTCCAATTAGCAAGGCACGGATTTGCCGATGGCAGCAGTCTTCCACCGCTGTGCTGGCTAATAACCTTGGCTCACCCGCTTTTGGACATTAATGATCTAAACACAGTACTGTGAATAAAAAAAATACATTAGTTATTTGTTATATATTTGACAAATTAATGACCACAGAGCATTCAACCCTCATAACCTTCTAACCACAGCTTAATCACGGTGCGAATGGCGTTCTGGCCGGAATTCTATATTTGTTTTGTGGCCGCTTGTTCAACATTCACCAGATTCCGGTTTACCCATGCTTGGCCTCGAAAGGCTTTGCCATGTCCGTGGGCTGTCCGCGCTTGTGTCTTGTGGGACGTGTGCGAGGTGCATTCTCACGCGTGTGCATTTCACGTGTGTTCTGTCTCCGGCAAACGTAGGCACCTCGACCGTTGAGCATCATCAAGCAAAATAACGGAGAGCAGATAATTAGACGCCGCACCCGCAAGCGGACGCTGCCAGACCCTCCGCACGGAGACCAGCATTCTGGGATGAGCGGCAAGCAGAAATGCCTCTCCGGCAACAGCACTCACAACAGCGACGGCCATACCGCTGAAAACAGGATGGCAAACGGTGCCTTAAGCTGGGAGAAGGGGCCGCAGAGAGCCTCACCTGGACATCCTCCCAAAGTGCCAACATCCTTGAGCAGGATTCATGCGTCTGCAAGCCACGTCCACGTGCCTACGTCCGCCGTCATTACGGCGACTTCGCCCGCTGACCTTAGCATCCAGGTATGTCCCTTGGTGGATGGAATATATGTGTACGTTTATTTTATTTGGGGGGGGGGGGGTGGTGGGAAACATAACAGTGTTGGTAATGAGCTTAAATCCGTTTCGAAACGTTTCTGAAATGTATCTTGAAGAATAGCTTAATCTCTTTTGAAGGTAGGCTGTACACGTTGTGAATAAAATGTTTTAATATTTTCGAGAGATGGGAGAGACGAGGCTAAAGCGTTGTGCTGTGAAGCCGATGACTCGAGTTCCCAGCAAGCCACACGTCTACCGTCAGTGGCGACAGATATCTGAACCGGTCCTGGGCCCATTCTTTAACCAACCCAAAATAGACCACCTGGTTCAAGTGTGGCCAAACAGCCACTGACACAGCGTGGGGTGGCCTTCATCCCAACGTGGATTTCTTCGAGTTAATTTCGTCATTGTGATTGTGAGCGTGGATAGAAACCGTGAACCCCCCCCCCCCTATCGAATCACGTGGGCCGAGCGGAAGTGCATTGTTCGCGTGTTGCAGAGGTTCACGGTTCCCAGCCCAGAGGATCACCCCATGGTTAATTATGCGGGCGTACTGCCCGTAAAGCACTCCCTGTCTGCTTTGCAGTGGACGTTAAACAATCCTGTGAAGTTATGAAAAAAAGAGTAGGCCATGTGTGCCAGCGTCACGTTCGCAAAACTTCCCAAGCGTGACATTTTACTCGCGATTTACCTAATTGGGTAAAAATCACGTACAGCATCACCCCGACTGGAAAACTTTAATCACCCGTGAAACTTGAAGCCTTTGTGATAGCCATACACTTGTAGAATGGGGCAAATAGGATATATGTTAATTGCATTGAATAAACTTATCATGTGAAGTGATGCATCCGTACGAAACAGGAGAGGTGTGTAGCGTATGAACCGTATGACACTGGGGGGGTTAAAACAGCTCTACGAGTTTGGAGATCCAGCTTGCTTTGGTCTGATCACCTCATCAATAAAGGTCGTTGCAGAGGTTAGACGCCAATTGAAAGACACCCATTTGATTGGCCAGTAGCATTGTCAGCCACTCTGAGCACAGCTGTGCAGAGGGGACACGAGTTGGTAAATTGTGGTGATATCCCCTATTTGCTAAGGGTTTTTGAGGGTATTCTGAATGGGTTTTGATTGTGTGGTATTAAATTAAATGTAATTTTGTAGAGCGTCTTTGAATCTGTTGCATTGATCTACCAGTTGGTCTTTTTTTAATCCTGTTCTTACACGTGTTCTCTTTTCATGCTTTGCTTGTATAATGGATCTCTGTTTTACTTATGCAGTGACTCGTGTTAAATTAACTACAGTGGTTGGATTCCTGGCCCTAGTCTGAAGGAGTGTCGGAATCCTAATAAAACTCTCTACAGTGCTATTTTATGTGGAAACTTTCCATCTTTCATATGTTACAACTATATTATTCAAATAGGTCAAATTTTCATGTTATTTTATTTGTGGGCTATTGGTTGCTTGCGGCCTCAGTGTTGCACGATTTATGGTCTCGCTTCTGTTTAATATTTCCTGTTTTTGGTTGAGAAGGGAGTTCCTAATTGGCCAAGGTTTATGTAAATATCTTGTGCTGGTGAACCTGGAAGTAGTAGCCAAACATTTTGGATGATGTATGTTTGTTGAACTTATTTTTGACAACACAAGGATTTGGTAGTTTGATCGGTGTTGAGAATTCTTCTTCTTCTTCTCTGTGTGGTTCTGGACAACAAGCTGTGCATTTCTAATTCGGAAACTATTTTCATGATAAATTTCCTCCTTTGCCAAATACAGAACTGTGTTCAGAGGCACATACAGGGGGTAGGGTCCAGTGACAAGAGTTCACATAATTGATTTATCCCAGCCCCATGAGTTTCAGCTGCAAGTTTCTAAAACGTGGTTCCCCCTTCAAAGTCGTCTCCTTACCCAATGTTACGTCATTACCAAGGATCTCATGGCTTTCGCAAGCAGCCCAGGGAAGCCTCCAGCTCACTGCAAAAAAAAATCATCGTACGGGGAAAATACTCCTCCGTATATATACACGATTCATGCACAGTCTCCTCGGCGGATAAGCCAATGCACAAATAAGAGGAATTCACTCTCCAACACACCGGCGTGCTGAACGAGTGACTGATTAGCACGTTTTGTTTACGTGACAAACCTTTGGCTGTGTCAGGTGGTGGCGAGTTTAACGACACATTTACATTTATGCAATCTAATCCCAAAAAAAAAACCCTCTGTTATGAAGAGGAGTTTTCTCTCTTTGGAAACCCTTGTGGTGTTTTTTTACAGCGGTGGAGAGACACATGCCGATGGCGTACAATAACCTTGCCACTGGTGTGCACTCAGTCTGCGGCCTGTCCTCAAAATATTTCCTTAACATAACCCCGTTAATTTCCACAAACACAACATTTGCCCATTCGCAGATTGTAATGTTATTTATATCGCCAGTGTCCGGTTTACGACGGCCCAATCCACATTTACGACATTGACATAACACCATCGTGGATATATTGACGACGCGGAGGATTTATTTGCGACACATTTGAACAGAGCCGGTCTGGTTTTCCAAAGTGACTCGGCGTGGAGCTTTTGTTATTATCAAGTGGTTCTTTATGTGGATTTTTTTTTTACCGATTAAACTCTTGCTAAATATGACTGGTATAAAAAGTAAAAAAAAAACGGGTGATGTTTCTGCTGTTTTTAATGGGAAAATAGGGGTCTCGATTTACAACGACACGTTTCCAGGATTGCAGTGTGTCGTAAAAGCGATGCACCGCCTGTATAGTAAGCAATGGCGTAAAAACACTTCTTAAAATCCCAAATAAAGCCTGCAAGCCCAATGCTGCAGTAGTTTCTGCATTGTGCAGCACTGGCCTGGCGCTGCCTGACATAGCATGGAGACACGGCTGACAGGACTAAGCAGTGCTGCTTTGCGCATTGTTCACTTTTGACCTTTCTCTTTCAAAAATCCATTCTAGCCATTAACATTATTTCAAGGACACGCTGAACAGGGTGCTTTAAAAAAAAGGAAACACTTATGTGGGACTTTCGTTTTTAACGGAAAAATAACCGATTATACACTGTAATAACATGATAACAGAATTATGTTAATAGCTTCAAAAAGTCAAAGAGTCTCTTGTTCGCCATCACTGTCAACACGTGACCTGGAATCTTCTCCAGGTGGTCTCCAGAGTCCGGAGGCAGCAGCACATTTATTGTGGTGTTGTTGCAAATTCTCCCAAGTGTTAACATTTTTTTGAAGCCCCCTGTATTTGCGTTTCACATTTCTGTATTTGCTAGATGAAATCGCAATCATTAGTGCACCTCATTGTGTGTTAATCAAGTTTACGTGATGCCGCGAATGTCCGCATTTATATTTGAGGCTTAACATTTTTCCAACTTGTGTGCTAACTTTGGAACATTTCCGCTTTTCAAGAGCACAAAGCCAGACCCGTTCCACGGAGGTTCGAGCGACGGCGACGGCGTTCCGAACTGGCGGGAGGCACGGACGGACTCCGCCGCCCCTGCGGAGAGGCAGCACCCTCTGGGGCGCGTGTGCTACGTGAGCCCGCTGGAGGAGCGCGAGTCTCTGTCTCGGGGCAGTCCCATCGAGAAGTACCTTCACCGGCCGCACTGCACCCCGCCGGGGAGCCCCATAGAGAAGTACCAGTACGCCTCCACGGCCGCCGGCGCTGTCCCCACCGCCGCCCTGCAGGCAGCCCTGTCCGGCACCATCTACCCGCTCAACGGGGAGTGGCTGCGACTCTGGAGCAAGTACAGGATGATGATGGCGGCCAACCCGGAGAGCTACGTTGGCGGATTTCCGGCCGGCCAGGCACCCATGCACCTCTCGGACTGGGAGGCGTACGCCTCCTATTACCGACTGGGCGCTCACCTGAGCGGCGCGGGGGCGAGCGACGGGCCCCTCGATCTCGTGGTGAAGAAAAGGAAGACGTCGACGCCCGACAGGGGCGTCTCGGCGAGATCCTTTGCCGCGGCCAGGCGGGAGAGCCGGCCCGCCGGCTCGGCGGCTCCGGCACCGCCGCCGCCGCCGCCTGCCGCATCGCGGCCGAGGACGGTGGAGAGGGGCACGCAGGACGGCTGCTCGACAAAGTGCGCTCGCTGCGGGATCATCTTCCAGGACGAAGTGTTGCACACGCTGCACATGAGCTGCCACGGGGACGAGGGCCCCTTCCAGTGCAGCATTTGCCAGCACAAGTGTCTCGATAAATACGACTTCACCGTGCACATCCAGCGTGGCCTGCACAAGACCTCGCCTGCGGTGCCTTTGCCGCAGAGGCCTGGCAGCCAGTGAAAAGGACACGGCTTCTCGTTCGGGTTTACTTGACAAATCCTGCTTTAAATTTTGATTTAAAGCTTTCGTGACTGCAGTAATTCATATTCTTAGTTCTTTCGGTAAAGTCACGAAAGAACTAAGAATATGAAATCCTGCCTTTAAATCCTGCTTTTTAAGGTTATGCCCATTTCAGACGGCGCGAGGTAATTCGTAGAGCAACCGTCAAATAAATCGACACTAAATTGGCCACTTTTGTACGGGCATCTTTTGAAATTCCCCTAAATTGTATATTTTTTTTTTGCAAACATCCAAGTATTTTGTTGGATAATTGCAGATTCAACTTGCACTCCGCTTCTGCATTTGTAAGAGTTGGCTCTCATCGCAACGGCAGCTATTCAAGATTTGTCAAGTATTAATTTTAACGAAAATTAGAATTGATACATTGTACCGTTAAACAAAACATTACTTTAAGACTTCAGCATCGCTAGATACCGCTGCGCCCGATTGGGCGATAAGGCTTCAGTTACCAATGTATTGCATTAAAACAATGATTTGCTAAATATCAACATTTTTTCGGATGCGGCTGTAGGCAGTAGCAGCTGCCACGAATGCCATTCTGCGAGTGAATGGAGAGTTACCAGTGCCTTTGTAAAGCATATTGGGTCAATACTGCTCTCGATGGGAGTTTACAAAATAGGACAGCGAAAGCCGTCTTTGAGAATTGTCTTTGTATCACCACAGCACGGCTGATCGGGGCCGAGCTCGGCGATCGGCAGGGGCCGCTCGTGTTGTCGTGCGTAACACTGTTTGGCCACGAGAGAAGAAGAGCGCTCGCGCGCGCCGTCACAGTTATTTTTGTACGTGCGTATCGTGGGACGCTGCCCCCGACTGCAGTTGCCAATGGTTCGCACGAGCTCGTACTGGGGTGCCCGCCCGCCCGCCCGCCCGCCCGCCCACCTCTCCGCTTTGCACACCGTGGGCCTCTGTGCTTGTACGTGCGCAGCCCGTCGCTCTTGTGGCGGCGGTGTGAGCTAAGGCCCCGTTGACTATTTGTACTCTTTAGAAGTAAGCATGCTAATGAACCGGATTTTTGTTCGTGCTATAGTTCACGTGATGCACAGTGGTCGCTTGTTCGCACGAATACTTGCGCAAGGGCTGTTACAACCGCGACAGGTAAGGGATGATGTTACGTGCTGTCCATGCCGTTTTTGGGGTGGAAGTAATTGCGAGAATCGTGAGTGCTGAGCACGTTGTTGAGTGCTTGTCAGCATCCTCCCTGAACTCTCTCTCTCTCGCTGGTGACGGTGCCCGAGTCTCCCGCGTGCTGTAGTCAAATGCGTGCTAGCAGTCGCGTGTAATTTAGCCGACGGGCAATGCTGTGGTTTTTTTTGCGTTACGCACATTTGCCGAAAGGCACCAGAACCTTTTTGCCGCCCTGTGTGCTTGTTTTGTTGTTGTTGTACAGGGAATACAAATGCAATGCAAAAAAAAATCGATCATCGTTATTTGGCAAGAGTGTAATGCAAACGGCTGCATTTAACGTCCGGTGACAACACGTTAAGAAGTCGATCGTTATACGTTACACTTGCTTACAAGTACCCAAAGCCACGCAAAGTATTGCTCTTCTGTTATCATTTAAGATGGAGAGCGATCGGTTTGAATTTGGTGAAATAGCATCTTCTGCAGCGATCACTCAAGCTTAACTTGCCAATCAATATCTTTTTCATCCCCTCCTTGTGGTTGAAGCATATCTGTTTTTTTTAGTTATTTTGTAGGAATTTACTCAAGCAGACAATTATACGAAGTTTACAGTGTGCAAGGAAAACATTTAGTATATGCAAATGAACGTATTCACATGAAAATGCAACAGGATTGCACTGTACAATGTATTAAAATATATACATATTTAGTTTTTATATATATCTTTAAAACAATCCACATTTTTCCACAGATTTTGTACTGCTGTTCAAAAGCATGTCTTTGGAACTAAATTATTTTGTAATGCTATTGCCAAAATACAGGCCCCTTTGATATTTCTGCCGTTTGACATACCAATATTTATTTAAGCAAATCTTAAGTTTAGCTGGTCTATAGTGCACATGACTGTTTTACTATATATATCGATATGCATGTGTAAAAAACAAAATGCACATTCAACATATATATTGAAGCCTGTATTTTGAGCACAAAATACTCTCAACATTCCAAACATTCACTTTTCAAAATCTGCAAGTTCTCGTGGAATGCATGTCACCATTGCAAAATAATACACGCACATCAGTTGTATTTTAATAAATAAGACTCCGTGTATATCTTCATCCTGAGCCCAGAATAACATATGTATAACATTTTATTACATTCATATTGTATTGCCTCTCAGTCTTAACGTTTAAAAAAATATATATACCTGATATGTATGCATGTGCCATGTTTACACAATTGGCGATACATACTGGATTGTAGTTTGAATTGAGACCCACTGGGGGGTCTGCCGTATAGATTCTAACACGGACCACGTGCGGCAATAGGGAGGGAATTGTTGTTACATTGGTTAAAAGCACACACACACACATTGCAGTTGCGATTACTTTATATTGATGTGCGTAGAGTACATACTTTTCAAAATACTAGCTACGTAAAGTATACTGTATTTTACTTCTTTTGTTATTTTTTTGCACAGAGGAAGTGTTTGTTTTAATGCAAGCTGGCTTGGTCTCTTCCCCCCCCCCCCCCCCCGAAAGGTACTCTTTGTTATTGCAGCTGCTTGGTGCATTTTCAGCATTTCTTTCTAACTTTTTAGTGTAATACGTGTCAAATGTTGAAAACATTTTAATGCTTTTGTTTATTCTTAACAGTGCCTGTCGAGTACTGTAGGATTTACAATATGTTAATTAAAAACGTTTTTTTTTTATTAAACTAAAAATGTCACTTGTGTGATCTGTTTGCACTGTCATGCTTGCACTCAAAACACGGTTTTTCGCAAACCGACAAAAAGTAAGCGCAAAACTCGTCCCATCCGGGAGGCATTGCTGCCCAGGCAATAAACTAAAGAGCACACATGAGAGTGATGGGTAAGGAAGGGAGAGCAATTTAAGGAATTGGCCAAGCATCGCAATGCAGATCCCTCCCGAGAAGTCCTTGAGAATCGGCGCGGTGTTCGCGGAACAACAAATTACACTTGATGCTAAAGAATGATCCTTGTGCGTAACAAAGACAAATATCACCCCTGTGGCCGTGACTGACTGTTGGGGCAAGTGCTGTTAGCGAGCGCCAATGAAGGCCGGAAGGCCACACCAGGGGGGTGGGGTTGCCAGCATTACACCCGGTCGCTTTTGTCTCTTGAATGGCGATGATTACACACCGCACCAGGTACTGATTTGTTTCGTGAATGGCGATGATTACACACCGCACCAGGTACTGATTTGTCTCGTGAATGGCGATGATTACACATCGCACCAAGTACTCATTTGTTTCGTGAATGGCGATGATTACACACCGCACCAAGTACTGATTTGTCTCGTGAATGGCGATGATTACACACCGCACCAGGTACTGATTTGTCTCGTGAATGGCGATGATTACACACCGCGCCAGGTACTCATTTGTCTCGTGAATGGCGATGATTACACACCGCACCAGGTACTGATTTGTCTCGTGAATGGCGATGATTACACACCGCGCCAGGTACTCATTTGTCTCGTGAATGGCGATGATTACACACCGCACCAAGTACTCATTTGTCTCGTGAATGGCGATGATTACACACCGCACCAGGTACTCATTTGTCTCGTGAATGGCGATGATTACACACCGCGCCAGGTACTGATTTGTCTCGTGAATGGTGATGATTACACACCGCACTAGGTACTGATTTGTCTCGTGAATGGCGATGATTACACACCGCACTAGGTACTGATTTGTCTCGTGAATGGCGATGATTACACACCGCACTAGGTACTGATTTGTCTCGTGAATGGCGATGATTACACACCGCACTAGGTACTGATTTGTCTCGTGAATGGCGATGATTACACACCGCACCAAGTACTCATTTGTCTCGTAAATAGCGATGATTACACACTGCACCAGGTACTCATTTGTCTCGTGAATGGCGATGATTACACACCGCACTAGGTACTGATTTGTCTCGTGAATGGCGATGATTACACACCGCGCCAGGTACTGATTTGTCTCGTGAATGGCGATGATTACACACCGCGCCAGGTACTCATTTGTCTCGTGAATGGCGATGATTACACACCGCACCAGGTACTCATTTGTCTCGTGAATGGCGATGATTACACACCGCGCCAGGTACTCATTTGTCTCGTGAATGGCGATGATTACACACCGCACCAAGTACTCATTTGTCTCGTGAATGGCGATGATTACACACCGCGCCAGGTACTCATTTGTCTCGTGAATGGCGATGATTACACACCGCACCAGGTACTCATTTGTCTCGTGAATGGCGATGATTACACACCGCGCCAGGTACTGATTTGTCTCGTGAATGGCGATGATTACACACCGCGCCAGGTACTCATTTGTCTCGTGAATGGCGATTACACACCGCGCCAGGTACTCATTTGTCTCGTGAATTGCGATGATTACACACCGCGCCAGGTACTCATTTGTCTCGTGAATGGCGATGATTACACACCGCACCAAGTACTCATTTGTCTCGTGAATGGCGATGATTACACACCGCACTAGGTACTGATTTGTCTCGTGAATAGCGATGATTACACACCGCGCCAGGTACTGATTCGTCTCGTGAGTAGCGATGATTACACACCGCACCAGGTACTCATTTGTCTCGTGAATGGCGATGATTACACACCGCGCCAGGTACTCATTTGTCTCGTGAATGGCGATGATTACACACCGCACCAGGTACTCATTTGTCTCGTGAATGGCGATGATTACACACCGCGTCAGGTACTCATTTGTCTCCTGAATGGCGATGATTACACACCGCACCAAGTACTCATTTGTCTCGTGAATGGCGATGATTACACACCGCACTAGGTACTCATTTGTCTCGTGAATGGCGATGATTACACACCGCGCCAGGTACTGATTTGTCTCGTGAATAGCGATGATTACACACCGCACCAGGTACTCATTTGTCTCGTGAATGGCGATGATTACACACCGCACCAGGTACTCATTTGAGGCTGAGTCAACTTCGGGAAGGCCCTGAATCGATTCAGATAGTCATCGGTGTTGTCCGTGAGCGGCAATCGAACTCGGTACGCCTGGTTCTTGGCGCAGCACGTTAACCACTGCGCTACCGCTACCCACATGCACACGCATAAACACGTATTACTCTTTAACCAGGAGAGCCTCACTGAGTCTCAGGCCTTTTTTTCAGGAGGGTCCTGCCACGTGTTTTTCCAGAGTGGACGACGATGGTCACGATGCATCATCCCCAGATGCGCTGTTGCGGCCGTCTGGAATGCTCTTCCGATATTAGGAAGCCCGCTGGTGGCTATGAACTTTAAAATCTAGATTGAAAACTCATTTCTTACTTTTGGTGTTTAGTTTGTTGTCCTTATTCCGCACCTCTGATCAGCACGGTTGGTTATGTACGGTGCGAAAGAATTCGAGCATATAGTAATAGGTTTTACCCTTTTAACTGGCTATTACTATAGCTTGTTTCTGGCAAAGGAGGTCTCATAATGTTCATTCGAGCATACTTCGACGCACGTGGTTTACATCCGCAGTTGTCACCGCATGAAATAGTCCTCCGGCTAGGCGACGCCGACCCCAGCACTGTTTGCATGAAAGTTGGATCGCGAACGTGCCGTGGCTGAGAAGAGTCCACTCAGCAGGGGCGGGACGGCGTGCAACGGGATTGCAACCGATTTCCTGGCGCGATAAACGACGCAGTCGTGCGTGGTACAAATCTGTCTCCCCATCGATAGGATTGCATCTCGTGTTGTTGCTCGGGAGAGTGGGACATTGGCGATCGATGTTCGGTCGCAGCGTTGATGGCATTTCGTCGTTGATTTCGCACCTAACAGAGTGGGCCGCATCCGCTCCACGAAGCATGGCAGTAGATGCGGATAGTGGATGCACAAATGGAAAAATGAAAAAACTCTCCAGTAGTGCGCGACTGTGGTCATCCGGAACAGACCGTCCAACGTATAGCGACGCAAATGCCCGGTCCACAAATAAGGAGACATCGCAGCGACGGTACACTCCGTCACTCGTGACGCGGTTATCTGGGCTTGACAAACTTAATGTGACATTGTAGTCGTTGCTCTGCATCTGCATCAGCCGTACGAAAGAAGGATTGCATCTCACCGATTTGCATGGGGATTGCATTGTGCGTGCGGGCCTTCCAAGACAATAGAGTGGGCGTGTTCTGAATTGCAGCACGTGGAGTGGCAACAGCTGAATCACGCCTCGAGACAATGGGACGGCGCGCGCGGCATCACCACGTGAAGTGGCGATTCTTCCTCCCGTAATCCCATTAATCCACTACATCTCATTTCCTGATGCTATCGCCATTAACGCGAACACCTCCGTCGGGAGGTCACAACCACAGCGCCAGTGTCCAGCGCCTCGATTATATCATCACAAAGACGAAGAAGAGCTTCCTGTACAGCCAGTCACAGACTGTCGGGGCAAGTGCTGTTAGCGAGTAGTAACTATGAAGGCCGGCACGGCACACGACGGGATGGGTGGCCGGCACCACGCCCGGCCCGCCTTTGTCTCCCCAGTAGCGATGTTTACACGGCACCAGGTACTCATTTGAAGCTGAGTCGACCTAGGGGAGGCCCGGGACCGGTTTAGATAATCGTCACTGGTGTTGGTGGTCGTAACCGGGACTTGAACTCAGGTTGCCGGTTTCGTATAGCAGCGCGCTAACCGCTACGCCACAGCCCCCCCCCCCCCCCCCCCCCCACAAAAAAAAAGATAAAGAGCCCCCGTGTAGCCTTAAAAAAAACTTTTTGGTGAAAGTGCTGTTAGCGAGTACCTATAAAGGCCGGGCACGGCACACGAGGGGGTGGGTGGCCAGCATCACGCCCGACCGTCTTTGTCTCCCCAGTGGCGATGTTTACTACACACCGCACCAGGTACTCATTTGAGGCTGAGTCGACCTTCTCTCTATATATGTCCACGTGCACCCACGTGACGCGCTCACCATCACTGCCCCATTCGCCAGCCGGCGGCGACAGCAGCAGCAGCAGCGCCTTCAGGTATCCCTCGCCCCTGAACTCTTCCATCTCAACTCCTAGGGGTTGGTGGCAACCTCACCACCCGCAAGCGATCGACCTGGAATCGCTTTTGGGATGGGCAAGGGTGGCACGGGCAACTCCTCGATCGGAGGGGGTTCGCCACAGGCTTGCTTTCTACTCCCTGAATCTGTCCACTTGCTCGGGCTGAATGATGTGGGGGAAATATCTAATTGCGATTTGTCTGACAGATATTGCGATTTGATTTGCGATTACATTTTTTCAAGTCAAGCTTCAGTTCAATATTCACTGTGTAATAGATTTAAAACATGTGATGGGGCATTACCACATGATACCATCAAAATATGAACTGATCTATATATTCTAATGCAAGGGTGAGAATTTAAAAGATATGAATTGCTTCCAACATTTGTTTATTAAAATGTTTTAATTGAAATAAAACATCAAACCATTGAACAATTGTTCAGTTAAATAAATAAAGTTATAATAATAAGAAGAAAATAAAACACTTCAAATAAGAAAGTATAATAGGACTTTTCAAATCGCAAAAAAATCGTAGCCTTTGCGATTTGCTAATCGAATTGTTTCAAATAGCGATTTCAATTTGAAATTGAATAATCGTTCAGCCCTACTACTTGCTCACCCGCCAACCTTCACGTGAACATTGACGTTGGTGAGAATACTCCCCGCCAGAGAGACAAACTACGGTGATGTGTCCAACTTCAGGACAGGACAGCTTTCTCATTCTTCTGAAGAAGGGGGCCCTTCTCAACAACGTTAGTCTCGTATTCTTGGTTCTTTCGGTAAAGTCACGTTGAAGGGAAACAATAAAATAATGACTGCTTGTGTTGCAGTCGAAACGTCGTGAGAATTGTATTGTTTTTATATATATTATTATTTTATTGTTTCCCTTCAACGTGACTTTACCGAAAGAACCAATAATATGAATCACTGCAGTCACGAAAGCTTTAAATCAAAACGTTAGTCTCGTATGCGTTTGAAACCCTGGCGGGGAATATACATTTTATTATTTCTGCATGTCTCATAATGATCCTCATCGTCAGCAATGCTCAATCCGCTGCTGGATGAAGGCCCCGCCTGTCCCCAAACCGTCGCCACCTCTCACGATCCTGCGATGCAGCAATCCATCCGACAACTGCCGCGAAATGTGAGCCGGACTTCACCGCTTCCATCTCTCGTGGCTGGACGTGACCCTC